CCTCCGCTTCTCTCGGACCATGAATATAGAGCACTGGCCCAAACAATCACCTGAGCATGGCCTCGATTCAGTGTTTTCGTTGCCTCATTGGCTCCTTTCCGCAGTTGCTTGTAATTCTGTGCCTCATTCGCCAAATTGAGCAATTTTTGCGACAGAGCTATATCGGCAATTGGATATGCTTTCGGGTTGCATCCTGCGTCCGTCATCGTGCTCCACTTCACTGCGCAAGCCTAAAATGAACATCAGAAAGAGAAACACAAGGAATAATTTATACAGTAGCGATGGAACTACGTTTCAGTCATGCTTTGTGGTAGTGGTAAGAGATGTATACGACTTAATGGATCGAAACATTTTTTACTATTAAAATAATTTTACCAAATTTTGTAATTCTCATCTCCTATCTTCCTTACTCTTCCTCTTCTTTCATCCGTTGTTAATATACCTTTCTATTTTAAAACTTCTGAATCCCTCCCTCCCCCCACTCCGCGCCCTCCCCCCAAAAAAACAGTCGAACATCACCATAAATGTTATCCAAGTTAAGAGATGAAACGCAGACTGCATCGTGAAATGCCTTCTTATACATGACACCTAATTTCAATCTTCTTACTCCACTGTTCATGCTGATGTCACCCGTGGAAACGGACCGCTTCCCACCGGCAACCAGCGTGATCTTGATGGATTTATCGAATAACTTACGCTGTAGTGACGAAATTACGTCCCAGTCATGCTTTCGTGGTAATGGTAAGAAATGTATACGACTTAATGGACCGAAACATTTTTCGCCATCAAAATAATTTTATCAGTTTTACAAATTTTGTAATTCTCATCTCCTATCTTCCTTACTCTTCCCCTTCTTTCATCCGTTGTTAATATAACTTTTTACTCCAATACTTCTGAATCCCTTTCCCCCCCCCCCTTTTTCCCCGCTCTCCCTCCTCAAAAAAACAGTCGAATTACCACCATAAATGTTATCCAGGTTCAAGCTAATGTCATCCATACCCAGGCTGGAAAATTGCCGCTTTTATACCGGCAACCCGTTCAACCTCACCAAATTTATCTACTGATTTTTATTATGCTCAAAAACGAGGACAGAATACGGGGAGAGAGTGACCAGGGAAGGTTCTACTCTTTTTTGACCTTTTCTATCATCCATTTCTACATTTTCTAACAAAATTTCCACTTAACCTTAAATACATGATAAAGAATGATGAAAAAAGATGATGATTTCCGTGTAAGGTAAGCAAAATCATGATAATCACTAAGCTTCTAGAAAAAAAAAAAAACCTGACATGGCCCTGGAAATTTTCGCAAGAAAAAATAAGTGCTCACACACACAAGTAAGTTTACAAATACATTCACGCAAACAAATATATGCACAAAAACACATGCATGTATGTCACAAACACACACAAACATACACACACCCATTCACATAAACGCATCCAGACGTACACACACGTACACGCACCCAAACGTACACAAGAAATACACACACAACCAGTCACACATATTCATCCAAACGTACATACAAACATACACGTATACGTATAGACAGACCAGCTCACACAGCATACACAGATATGTACATACAACACATAGACATCTACACATGCAAAAACATACACGCAGACATACAGAAACATACAAATCCAAGTACAGACGAGCACGCACACACACATACACACATACACACACATACACATACATACACATATACACACATATACACACAAACACACACATGTACGCTCACAGATCAACCGCTTTACCGT